GGCTAGACAGGGATTTTTGGATTCTAATAAATTATGTTTGAAGATCGATTATTAAGCGTGTTACTGAGATCAAAATAAATCGTAGCGTTATCATCTGTTGTCGTCTTTTGTATTATCAATGATTTTAACAATACTTGTGTGTGTGTGTGTGTGTGTGTGAATACAAAATAGGAACACCTGCTTAAAGATGTGCCTATTCTTCCCCAGATATTAAGCTGGCTAGGTCATCAGCTGACTCAATAGTTTGTTATTCCAGTAACCTCCTTAACAAATTATTCTTATTATCTAAACATATATTAGCTCTATTCTATATTAGTTGTTAAGCAACATAAGAAAGAAACGTGACTTAATTGACTTTCAAAAAAGGAAAGATTATAGTGCTTTAGTGACCACGTTTGCACAACTTCTTGGCTTTGCAATAGATAAATACCAAAATGTTATTGAAACTTGGCGATTATCAAATAAATGTTATCATGTAAATGTAACAGTGATTGAAACATCACGAGTGAATGAAATTCTAGTGCTTTATGTCAAATTGTGCCCTCGACGAATGGAACATAATCCTCAACATACATTTCAGGAACTTGTATATGCCCAACTGTAAATAACTGAAGAACACGTTATTAAACCATTTCTAAAAAGTGGTTTTATTCTTTATCCTACCCCTGTTTGTTTGAGAGTGTAATAAAAAGCCCTTAGACAGGAATTAGTTACACACTTATTTATTAATAAAGATTTGTAGCAAGTTCGCTACGTTATGCATATATTCAGCTCTTATGTTAATAACTTTAGAAAGGTAGTGACTGGTCTGATTCTTAACTATTTTTAAAGATGTATTCAGGTAAACGTGTTTGTTGTGGACATAAGCTTGCCTTAATACTTGATGTTATTATACAAACTTATTCATTTTCTTACGCAATACACTTTACTGTTTTCAAACATATTCACTTCCCAAGAAATTTTACTTTTAGTTATTTGCATCTACGTAAGATGAAATTGCTGAAATCTATCAATGGAAAAATAAATTTAAATACACTGCATATGTAGTTTCATATGGATATAGACACATTTAACATGTATGCCCAGGAAAAGCTAGGCTATTATGAAACCTTGAGAAGAACCTAAAAAGTCGTTGCAATGTAGTGTCTTGAATACAGTTGGATAAATAAAGTGCTAATATTATCCTACGTCTAACATTAGGACCATTAATTGAAAACATGCTGTTCAGGATTTGATCAGTTAATTTCTAATCACAGTTCATAAGATATTACCTAATAATATTAATCACAGTGACAAATATATATATATAAGTTTATGTATTATGCGCTCCTAGTTATGCAAGGTTCTACCATAACTTGTGGACTAAAATTTGCAAAAGTGTAAACTATATATTATTATGAATATATGCAAGAAAGCAAATCGCACTATAAGATATTTTGACGTTTAAGTAAATCGTCTTAAACATTCCATTAAACATTTTATAATCACATTGCTACATTTCGACAAGAGCAGCACATTTCATGGTACAAATTGTACACATTGCTGTGTTTGTTATATATAATTTTTACATATTAGTGTGCATCAGACGTTATTTATTCCATGGGATTAGGGCTGTATTTGAACAATGAATAAATACGATTAAGTCGTATGTAAGTTCGAGGCCTTATAATGTCGCTGACGCTTATTGGATCGGAACAGCGTTTTGCTTAATCTGGGGCCAATTTCACGAAAGCATCTTAGGAAAGAAGTCGTTTCTAAAACATGACTTTAGAACTATCTCTTTCCTATAAGTGTTTCAAAAAAGATTTCGTATCTAAAGAAATTTTAAAACCCTTTCCTAACTTTACGCTTAAAAGTGCGTAAAATAACTATTTTTATTTTAATATCCATTCACTGACACCTTAAAATGATATTTAAGCAAAACAGTTTCGTAACAAAGAGATAATAAGGTCAAAATTAACTATTGTTAGACAAGGCTGAAAAATCTCGTCACTTGAAAAGTATTCTATGAATTAAAGGCTTTTAATTTGTTGCTTTTTTTTTCTTAATTAACTGAAAGAAATATTGATAAAATATATAAATATGTTGATATATTACATTAATAAAACTAACAAAAGTGTGATTCATAAAACGTTAGTAATTTAAATATAAATAACCACCCGATTTGATTTATAAGATCCTTATATTCCCGATACGTTGGGTTATTAAGATAAGTCGTTCTTAACCAAGACATCTCTAAGGTGGTGTTGTGAAACAAGTTGAGAAATTATTTTGTTTCATCTTGAGTATTGACCTATGAAAGATTTTTTATCTATTGCATTTAGCGCTAAGCTACACGAGAGCTGTCTATATTAATCCTCACTATTTTTCGAGTGATATACTAGAGGGAAAGCAGCTAATCAAAACATCTCTCCGATAACTCTGAGCCTACTCTTGTCAGAACAAATATGGATATTTGACAGTTACTGTTATAACGCACCACGGTTCTAAAGTGCAGGGCACGATTTTGTTTTGGCGGATATGGTACGCTAGCCATGAAACTTCAGATTCAGAGTTCGCTAAATTAACTACTTGACTACTCTCGGGCCCTAAAAGAAACTCGAGAAAATCTTAAAGAGGTTTTCGTGAAACTGGACTCCTGACCTTTTTGAGAAGAAAATTAATTTTTTAAGTATAAATAGGAACGATACAAATTTGGAAGAAGCTTACATTTAGTGTCTTTCTCACTCAACTATTCGAATGCCTAAATTCCACGTAAATAAAAGAAAAATAACTGTAGAAATGATAGATTCCCTGGAGTGCACTTTATATTTTTGTTGATAAGACTCATGCTTTGTTGAAAGGAAGTAAACTTGTACTTGAGAAAGTATGAACTTGTACTTGAGAAAGTATGAACATACTGATCGAAATTTATTTGTTGGTGTAGTACTTCTCTATATAAAAAGTTTTTTGGTGATCGATGATTAACCAGATAGAAGACACAATATATTTAAAAAATATTAAAATGAAACTGAAGCTGCTTTGAAATGTAATTCATAATCTACGTGTGAAGCTACCCACTGGATATAACAACAAAAATCGTTCATCTTCTTTAGAGAATTTAATCTTGGATTTTCTCATCTTAAGTTGTCAGACCCATGCAAGTCATGATTTACAATAGAACAGTAGAAAGAACACGTATTAGCTAACATGTTGTCAGGGTTTAGTTTTTGAAAGCTATCTACAACTGATGACGTCTGTAAATAAGCTGCCATAAGACATTTTCTACTGTGAGCCACTTTTAGTTATTTGATACACACTGCAGCATGCAACTTGTACAAACATTTCTTTGCGTATGTGATGTTATATCATACACAAATAATCCAGACAACTTGGTTTATGAATCAGTAGGATAATAAAAAGTTCACTTTTATGGGTGATTTTGACAAATGTGTCAAACCTTATTTTGTTATTCATATTATCAGTGTTATGTTTTTAGTTTCGTTTGGTGAAAGGCTGATAATTATGTACATTGGTTGTATTTTCAACCAAAGGGGCGAAAAAGAACAAAGTGACTATAAATAAAATCCTTAGACGTAAAAGGAAAGAGTTACAAAAGACAACCTGTTCTTCTTTATCATACAGTTTATGGCAGATTTATAAAAAGTATAATACACAATAAGAATAAGAATTTCATTTTATATTTTTACTTAACTTAAATGTTCCTTCTATCAGTTCAAAATATTTTACACAATAGAATATATATACTTAACTATATAAGTTCGCAATGTTTCTCTTATTGCAAATGTCGAAGACAATGTTACTATATTTCATTTTGTGTATTTTCCTTCCTTGATATTTTCAAGTTCCCATTATCCGTTAATTACAAAAACATTTGGTTACGTTTCTAACGACATTTTCAACTTTATTCATATCATGAACATCTATAACATACTTTTTAAGTTAAGAGATCATAGATGAGTGATTTTAATACTACAGTTTTTTTACTTTGTCATATTTATGAATTCATATTGAAACAATATATGATTTTTACGTATCTCTAAATGTGTCATCCAAAATCAAATATGATAATTTTATTAGCAGATATAAATGATCGAAATTGATATTAGCCATTTCCTTTCTAAATCGATGTGTTTCTTTCTCTTTCGTGTCATCTTCTAAAAGTTTGAAATATACTTTTTATATGCTACGGGATGATAAATATTCCCAATATTCTTCTTGTTGCAAATGGCGAAGACAATATTTCTTTATTTCTGCATATTTT